GTTTTGTCTGCTGATAACCTTGAATGCGTCACGTGGTTTTCGTATAAATTACAATCGAGCAGTTACTGAGCGATTGAGCTGGCAGGGAGTTTAGGGCCATTATTTGCCAGGTTCTGTGGAACATGTTCCGTGACCCTAGTTGATAGCCTTCTCTCGATTCGGCCAATGCACATGCTACCACAAGTACAAGTGAATTGGTAAACACATGAGGCGGTAACCTGAGAGTGAGGCCTATCCAAGTTGGATTCATGGAACAGCTTCTTGGTTTGATGTAACAACATGAGCTCAGCTGCGTAGTATCACCTTTTTATGGCTTGGCGTAATCGGACCTAAGAAAAGAAAGGTCGTAGTCCAATCGTGGACTCTGTATGGTGTAACTCTATGTACGGTGGTAAGTACAGTTTGCATACCTTTCGGACATTTTGAAGATCAATTGTTTCGAAACTGAACGAGTATTGTCGAGGTAGGTACATATTGTATTTTGAATCCTATCTGAATAGTACCGTCGGATCCGGGAGTCACTCGAGCCCAAAACGAATCCGTCCCTTACACCCTTACACCGAGACACCCGTGTCTCGGTCTGGAATGAATTTGGATCAGTCGTGAATTGTCCTGCGAACTGGACGGAGTCGCTTGCTTATCTGGACTATGTCAACTGGAAAGAAATCATCTGAGAATGTAGTCGAAGCGAAAAAGAAACTTTGGCAAGTCAAAAGTTTTCCCCTGTCGATGATTTGGTTTCTTGCTCTGGGACGCATGCCAGTTCAACGATTAGGCGTAGATTGGGTTCACGTAGTGCTGTTGTTGATCTAAGGATGGCAGAACTTAAGGTGGAATGGGCGGCGCTGCATGTTAAAGTGGCTAAGTTGCGACTGGAGTGATATGGTGTTGACGTGCAGGAGACCACTGATGTTAATACTAGGTTGACAACTGCACATCTGCAGCATGTCGTGGAAGCTTCCCGCAGGTACATGCTAAAAGACACAAGTTTTAGGAAATCTCACAACAGTTGGCGAGAGACTTAACACCTGCCAGCAGATCTATCAAGAGTAGAGGTGGTTTTTAGTGGAAATCTGACTGACTACTGAATTGTGAAACAATGCTGAAAGTAGCGTGCGCAACAGAGGTCAGATGTTGCTTTATTTGGTTTATTACTGCAAGGACCGCGCTAAGGAAGCCACCAACGACTGCGCGATGCGACCACCAGAAGAGGCTTACGACAAAGCTAGGGGAATCCTCTATGTCTATTCGAGCATAGCCACGTTGTTGCTAGATCCCTGATTGATGGTCTGCTGACCGGTATGAAATCCCTGGCTAACGATCATGACGCCCTGTCCAGTTTGTCCAAAAAATAAAGAATTGTTACATCGTCTTAGCTCAAATGAGATTCACCGTAGACCTACACGCCGTAGTTACTATCGAACGAATGATCCGTGCTTCACTCAGCAGCTTTCAGTCCAGATGGGCAAGGGTAGTCGATTCCATCGCATAGCAAAGAATTAAAGTAACATCCAAGGATCTGTCGAAATTTGTTACACCATAATACGTAGCAGATTTGGACAGATTTCTGCAGTACCACTGTACGACATCAAAGGTGGTGCCGGAACCTCGTTGCTTGGCCTATGCTGGCCAACACAACATCGCCGTATGGCTTCTAGTGTTTTGGATCGTAAGAAACCAATAAAGTGAAGAAGAGGATGTTATGTGTGTCTCAATGTAGGTCAATTTGCGGCCTCATGCAGTTTGAGTAGAAATGATGACCAACTAGGTTGCAAGTTATGACATCATCCTCTACCACACAAAAAGCACAAGGAATATCGGCCACAAGAACCTGGTCCATGTTGCACTGCCTCGGGTTAGCGACAGGAAGTTTGGCTTGGGTTAGTTGCTATGTGACCGGAGGAGCCTGTGGGATCTGCTGTATCGCACGTTTTGGTGGACAGCGGACTGGACATGATGAATGTGTGTGATAGCGGGTCAGATCTGACGTTGTTACAGGAGATTTTGCTTGAGGCCGATATTGGATCTTCTCCAGAACGGTGGGAAATTATAACGATGGTTGGCACATCAACCGCTGACGCCAGGTGTACAGACTTCGAGCTAACGCCGTTAGAAGGAAATGATTCTGATTGTATTTCCCTGCGTACAACCTTCGAAAACTGCACCTTGAACCAATGAAAGGCTCCACTCAAACCAAGGGGAGATACAGAGATGCACTGCCTTTTCAATGGTGAAAAAACGGAGATATTAATACAGTTGCGGAGTATCAAGTAACAGTCCATCTATTAGAGGCGACTTTGTCCTTCTTTTGTGCCAACTTCGCAATGTGTAGGACCGTCAAGGAACGGGGAAATCAATACAAGAAGGTTGTGCGAGATGTTGCCACGAAAACCTTTACGTTGGTGATTGCTTGATTTCCTTACCAATCCCGCAAAAAGGCAGTGCAGTTCGTCATACAAATTCTAAAGATGCTGGGTCGGGGAGATTCGTATTGAGAAAATGAGTTTCCAACTGCCCTGATATATATGATGCTTTGCTTCCGTCGGACGTTTCAGAGGGGATTAGACCAAGAAACTTACCGGGAAACCAAACACTTCTGACCTTAGATTGTAACGCCGAGGAGGACAGTATTCTGTTTCGATTCGCAGTGAAAAACGAGCGAAAAACACGGAGAGCATTCCGGTCGTTGGCGTTTAGGCTGTACGAACGATTGGGATTGGTAGCATCTTTGATTACGCCAGCTAAGTTATTGCGACAGAAACTTTGCCGTGACAAACCCACCTGGGATGAAGAAGTTGCACATCAGGACGTAGAAACATGGCAACATAGGCTATCCAGGATGAGAATTATGGGTAAGGTAAAGACTCCCAAATGTATTAGTAGTAAACACGCGATGAAACAACAGTCGCAATTACACGTATTCTGCGACGCTTCTGAGAGGGGATATGGTGCCGTAGCCTAGATTTGGTTCCATGACTCCGATAAGCCAGCATTCTGCTCACTAGTTTAGGTAAAATCTAGAATGGCTCCCTTAAACGCCATATCTATTCCTCGGTTAGAGCTAATAGCAGCTAAGCTTGGCACACGGGTTTTCGAGGATGTGCTCAAAAGAACACAGATACGGTTTGAACGAGTTTTTTGGACAGACAACCACAGTAATGTACTATATCAGTGACACGTACACGAAGTTTGGCACTTCATGGCGAATCGCCTGTCAGTTTTTCATGAATTATCCAAGCCGGATCAGTGGAGATACATTCTGTAAGAACAGAACCCAGCTGATCTGCTTTCCAGTGGTATCTTATCTTGTGAGTGTTTGAAACAGTGGCTAGATAGTCCGGAGCTTCTGCGGAAACATGAAGTTGAGTGGCCTAATTTTCCACTAACCACTCCAATCCCGGATGACATAGAAGTAAAGTGTCCCGCCGCCAAGCTGTACGCGATGAAAGAAGAGTGTCCTGCATATGGGTTAATTAGCTGTCACTCTGATTGGGTAAGTTGTTGAAATCTGTTGCGTTTCAAAGTGTATGTCCGAAGGCTACGCTGTTTCTGACCAGCCTCAGGGATTGCTAAAACTGAGTGAAATTACACAAGCAGAGATAGACGTTATCCGGATCGTGCAGCGTCGAGTGTGCAATGTGCATTTATTGATGACCAGGAAATATATGGGATTTCAAAAAGAGATTTTGAAAAGAAGCGCATTAAGGTGTTTGCGTCCTGTTTTACGGCTTAATCTGTGTTGATAGCCGGTAACCTATTATTCGCATGAGCCTTGTTTGAGGTTTCTAATGATTTATGCCAGCTAAACATGCGGTGATCAAGAGGTTAGTCATCTCCTAGCATCTAATTTAAGGTCACTCAGAAAATGCCCAAGCATTTGCGAACATCCGGCGTAACTAATGGATTGTTCACGGGGCTTCGGGTGTCAAACGGGTAATGCTGGACATGTAGGCGGCAACTGATGGTATCACAGCCGATGTCCAGAGTGCATGAAGGATAGTTCCTATTCAAACACGTTGGCGTTGATTATTTCGGACCTCTGATGGTTAAGTGTGGCAGAAGATAAGAGAAGCGGTATGGCTACCTGTTCACTCAATGAATACCGATTCATTCATCATGGCGCTCAGGAGATTTATTGTAAGAAGAGGGTTCCCAGAGGAAATGTTTGTTGATAACGGTGCGAATTTCGTCCATACCGTCAATGAAATGTGTCAAGCGATACAGAACTGGAATCAAGATAAAATCAATGACAAACTTTTAAGTCGGAACATCTAGTGACACTTCAACCCTTCGTCTGCATGCCATCAGGGTGGTAGTTGGGAAAGAATGATAAGATCTGTCAGAAGAATACTGCTTCAATTGCAGGCCAACAGTTTCATAAGGACGAAACGTTTGCTGCCTTCCTCGCAGAAGCAGAGTGCCATTAACGGCTGACATATTGTCCCAGTAACAACAGATACTCGTGACCAACCAACGCTTGCATCAAACGATCTACTATTGTTGCGGCAGAACACAGGACAATTGATGCCATGAACACTGCAGCAATGATATACCCAACGCTAGAAGCAAGTGAATCATATGATATCGGTAGTTTGAAAGCGGTGAACCGAAGCGTATTTAACGACGCTGCATCAGAGGAAAGTGGAAAAAAACCGAAAGGAATTTTAGGCGTGGCGACATTGTGCTAGTTGCTTCTGAGACACTGACACCAGGGCATTGGCCACTAGGTGTAATCGCAGATTGCGTAACCTCAGGGGACAGCTTAGTTCGGACTGTGTTCGTGAAGACAATAGACGGTTTACTGAAAATAGAAGTAAAGGAGCATAAATGTTTTTTCACTGAATTTTTTGTTGTATCCATATCGTCGCACTAAATTGTGGTTCCAAGGTTGCATGATACGGGATCAAAGCAGATTGCTAAATGCGGTAAGCCATTATCAGCTGTGTTAGGAATGCATTGCGAGGGAGAAGAAAGTGTGAAACAGTTACTGGGTTACTCACGTGTGCCTGAGTTGCCGATTGAAGTTCGAAAATGAAGCAGAACGCTGAATTCGCCGTTCCGATGGATTCGTTTCACCGGCATCCAATTTCAGCCGCAAAATATAGGCGCGAGTTGCGCGCAAGCGGTAGGCCAACCGTTCCGCTGTTAGAGCATCCGTGGAAATGAAGTTGATGTAAGTATTATCACTTGAAGGGTCGGCGCGTTCAACACCATGAGCAGAATGCAACTGATGAGAACCTCGGTGGCAGCTCAGACTGCGTTTCGGTCTTGAGTGTTTAATAAATGAGACCAACGGGGAAGCCTACGATAAGAATTGCCAGATTATTGGGTGGTACACATAAAACGTTGGCGTTTATCTTGCATCCTTGTGTTTATGCACTTACCGGATCCACACTTCCGCAGTAAGGAATGAGAACGAAGGATTTTACAGAGCGCGCATCACCCAGCAGGTTCCTTGAAAAACATTAAGCAGACAAACGGGAAACAAGAGATAAAGTGCCAGCTCTCAAGGAAATGGATCGCTTATGACGGATCAGGCAAGGTTGATCATCGGTTACCTGGTACGGAAGGGTGAGCTCATCAGTTTGAAACGTGATGGGGATACTCTTAACGGGATACGTGATGTAATCGGAAAAAGGTCTCTAGGATTCATGGTGGAAGTGACAGATCGGTGTGCTGCACTGTGGAGACTTCACAGGGGAATACAAGGCCAATGGCTAATCGTAGTAAGTGACGGGCCGGTGGGTTCGCGACAAGAACAACTAGTGAGACAGCGACTACGAGCCCAGTTGAGACCGAGTGAAGAAAAAGGCCGAACGACAGGAGTAGAGACATGAAGAAATTACGGTTGAGGGGATGGGAACAGAAAGAGGCATGTTAAACATGAGGTAAATGGGGAATAAGCTGAACAAACACGTAACTAACTCATTAATGAGGGCTTAGAGGCACAAACACATTTAATCGACAGATATTTAACAAAAAAATAAGGTTGTTGAAATAATGAGCGAGCATTTAACCGGAAAACAAGTACGGAATGGACAAATGAAGAGAGGAAAAAAGCTTAGTGAGACTCCCCAATGATTAGAGCTGTACTTAGGTAGTATGGTCATCTCACTATGACACGATATTCACGAAGACCACATGAGGGCTGTTAACTTGAGCCACCCGGGTGTGGGATGTATGGGGGTGGCTGATCAACGCGGTGTTCAGGCTGTTGAGCGTTTTCGCTATTATATGGGAATGGAGTACTTGTTGAAGAAACGTGCTTACTCGAGGCGCGCGCTGAGTGGCAGATCCACGATGTAGACTCGCCTCGGAAATGTGGAAAAGTCGACTAAACCCAAAAGCATGCCGGGTTGGGAGAAAAATCATGGGTGTTGGTTGCCAATCAGGTCAGCCCATTCTTTTGTTCGTGGCCTCATTTCTGCCAACAAGTCAATGAAAATCGCCTTGAACAATACACCATCCCATATCGGGGAAACAACAACGAAGCTACTATCAGTGAGAGAGTATAGATACAGAGTAGCCGAACCAGCACAACTTATCCAGCCAGTTCGTTGCTGGAGCGTAGTCACCCGGCCACTGTTACCTAGCGCTCCTTCGTGAGCCTGTGGCATCCGAGTGGCCGCAAATACTGTGCCTCCCTATTGCCTATCCAGGTTAATCAAGCTTGTCCGTCTATGCCCAAACACCTTATCGTTACACACGCGCTGGAGCCAGTCAATGCAAGTAACGCTCCATAAACGACGAAAATCAGGGGAAATAAAGGCACTCTGATTCCCAAGCTAATAAGAACAAGTCGCAATCCCGTAGAGAACCTTGGGCAAATTTTAAAGATAGAGGACTCCAAAGAGGAATCGGATTAATAATGGATGTTTCAGAGTTTACAATGCGCTCCCGTGATAGATGAACTGATCACGTATTATCCGTTTTTACCTTAAGGTCTCAAGAAGTCATCAAGCAGCTGGTGGTGCAGTATCTGCACTCTGAAGTGTATGCTAAGGAGTGGGATCAATGTAACGAGTTTGTCGACAATTTACTACAACATGTAATTGTATAGCAACAAAACGATGCCACCCGATTGCACCAAATAACTAAGTTCAAACGCATAACAGAAAGTAGGGTTATACCGGAGCTATACGCAATACAAGACAGTGTCTTTGGCAGTATCAGAACATCGGTCAGTTGAATCACAAGAAGCTGCCACACACAAAAACGCCCGGAGCGGTTGTTTTGTTGTTATATATATGTTATATATGTTGTTATATGTCTGTAGTTTTTACACGGAATGCTGGTTGGAAGCAGTAAGAAGAGGTATGACTGTGTAGCTGCATCTCATATCACGCAGGTACAAAGGTCTGCTCCATATAATTCATATTGACAGTGTTGGTCCAGGAATTTCTTGAATTCCAAAAGTGACTTCGCCTCAACCATGTGCTGCGGCAGATGGTTCGATACATTCCATAAAGAGTTAGTGGGTGACCCACTTCAAATCCGGTACAAGCTTGTACCGGTGTCCTCGTGTGCTGCTTGGTGTGCACAAATGCAGCGGCGGCCTCAACATGAAGCTGTTACCGAGATGTGGGATCCGGTGCGTCAAGAGTAGGTCATTTCGTAATCGATGATAAGGGTGTAAGGCCCTGGACTCTTACGGCACATAACGTAAATTGGGGATCAGCCTGGTGGCCACATGCTGTACCCGCTCAATCCCTTCTACCTGGCCCCAGGTGATAGGACAGCATGCGGGTGAGCCGTACTCTAGCATTGGTCGTATTATTAAGATGAAGAGGCGAGTGGCAATCTCTTCGGACCACGTGATGAAGCTGCATTCGAGTGCCCAAAGCATACGAAGGCCGTTTTATTAAAGCCTATTCGTGTTGTCCATGGACTTTAGGTCGCAGCGTGAGAGTACACCGAGGCCACTCACGAAAGGTGCGGAATGCAACAGTTGACCGGTCGGCGTAGGTTCGACTGTGCTCACACTTACCCAGTCTCATGGATAGCGATTTGACCAGGTTGAACGGAAGGCTGAGCTCTGCAGACCACATGGAGAGGTGGTCGAGGTCTCCCTGAAACAGGTTAGTCATTGGGTGCGTGGATTACTTTCCACACCGTCATTTCATGACTCAAAGTTGAATTTGGAGTACCTGCCGTGTGGTTGGATTGCGACACGCAATTTCTATTGTGACGTCGGTCATTCCGATTACAGGGACTGTATTCGAAATAGAGACGATTCGGAGTTGCGTGTCCCAGTATGGCATCAGTGTTGGGAGGAGCAACATCAAGCCAGCTCCATATTTCATGAGGTTTAATATTTTTAGCCATATGTTATAACTGTGAAATTGCACCTCGATATCTGTTATAGTTTTCGAGAGAAAAAAATAGATGTGTTCTTGCTACCGTACACGCTCATTGACCGCATTCGTCTGATTTGGTTTTGTTTTCCCATTCAGACGTCTTCTTTCCGACAATAAGTAATCCTGGTTAGCATGACAAAAAGGCGCTGTCAGTGTGATCTTCAGTGTCAGTCAACACGAAAGTGGAGACAAAACAATTCACGATTTTCCAGTGATATTGTGTGTTTGGTCTGGTAAATTTCAGCGACATTTACTCACAGTGGATTGTAGGAGGAGAACAACTGACGATGTTTTACGAAAACTTACAACACTCGATTTTAGAGCGTCTGAAGATGAGAATGAATATAATATTGATAATGATTTCACTATCCAGGAAACTGCGGATCACAGCATCTGTGATAAAATCTTGACAGTGACACTCCTCATGAGGACATCGGTGACGGCGAAATTCATTAAAAATATGGTAGCTGTTTCTGAATCTTCCAGTGAAGTTCACGTGAACCGCAATAGAGTCCTAAACAACTACCGTTGGTATGATGGCAGCACAGAATGCTGTCAAGGCGAGACCAAGTGCATATGCTCAGAAATGTGTGAAATTTGGTGAGCTCTCGAGACCTTCTGACATCATAATACATAAGTATGTAATGAGGCTGAGACCAAGAGTTTTAGGTGTCAGTTGTTTCTGAGCTACGTGCCTTCGTTAGGCTACTTTACATCAGAGGTATTAGGGGCTTGAAGAACAAGCCATTTAATTTGCTGTGGTGCAATAGGTACGGATTGCCTGCTTTTAGGAAAACAATTGGCAAAACAGCTTCAAGAAAAAAAGGTCCCTTCGCTTTGACATGCGAACTACCAGACGTTAAAGACTGCAGACTGACAATTTTGCTTTGATCTCTTTCAAGTGTGAATCTTAATAACTAAGTACCATTATTTTCAAGTTTTGGTAAAAGTACTAACTTAGATGCAAATAGCTGTCTGTTACAAGCATTTTTACACTTCAAATAGTCAAAGAATCAGAAAGTTGGAACAAACAAATACAGCCATACGGTCATTTTGGCTGGCCTCGGACGTTATAGATAGGTTGGTGGAGCGGTCTTACTGGTGTTAACGATGCGCTGTGCGCCTGCGCCAATCGATGCTGCCAAACGGGTTTTACAGAGAAGATTGTTTATGGGAACACAAAAGCAATCAAGGGGGATTTAGCTATGCAACTGACAACGATGTTCAGCCGAACTTAAGCTGCATTTGATGCGGCATCGATTTCGGACGAGTGTAATCGAAATCGAGAGGAGATCCAGTTAGTTTATCGGTCGCGTGGAATTCGAGAATTCCGTTGTCGGAGACGCAGCACATGGCAATCGAAATTTAGCCAGTGGGTGCGTAATGTCACCATGTCACCCAATATATTCTTTGCTGCGCGCGAAAAGCCGACAAAGATCTTGCGCAGCAAGATGCAGGCAACATAGAGTGCGGTGGTGTAGACAAAAATTTCAGCAATCCAATAGTGCAGTGGCTGTCGTCCTCTGGGCTTGGGACCACAAAGACCGGGTTCGTGGTAAGCGCACAAGAAGAAGGAAGTGGATGGGACAGCAGCAGCAACAGCAGTAGCGTGTTGTTGTCTATATCCCCAGCAGTATATGGCGGATAATACGATGGTTTTGAAAAAGAAAAGAGTCCGGTGAAGGACAAGGCTGAAGTCTGAAGTACGTAGTGATGTAGTTGCAAGTAAGTTTGGGAACTATAGGGTGTCTAAAAGTGGATTTGAGAAAGAGCAGGACTCTCAACCAAAGTGTTGAGCTTAGCAACATAAGTACGATTCAGAGGGAAGTTGGCAAGATTTAGCACCGTAAAATTCGGGCCACTAATTACAGCCACTAAGATGGGGACGAGGAGATTGAATGTGTCATATCACTAAGTAATAACCAAGATGTTACGGTACCGAAATTCCGACTTGGCAGAGCTCAATGAATAAATGAAGTCAGCAGTCGGACAACGTCAACACCTGGGTCTTCGTGCAAATGGGCGCCTGGCCAAAAACAAGCGTAAAATATAGTATTTACAATTCCGGCGTACCAGGTGCTAAAAAATGGATGACAACGAAGTAGTCAACACCCAGTCAACAGGAGGATTGGTCGAAAATAAGCATTGGGGTAGAAAGACCAGAGCGACAAATGGAGATTTAACCACAGAGGAAACACTGAAAAGGGAAGTGAGAAAATGTAAAGCCAAATGCCATCAGCAGGTTCAGTCACAAGGGCTCATCAATGAACCATCCGCGAGCATAGGTGACAGTGAAAAAACATCGATGATATAAATATATGAAGATGGTTATCCTTCACAAGACAATTCCGGTGGGTCAGATATACATTATAGAGAAGAAGATCAAGCGGACCGATAGGGTCTAGAATGCGGCACACTGCTGTTTGCGGCAGAATTTGTTATGCGTTAGAATGGTTGTAGGCGGTAGGACAGACATAAATAGCTGCAGTTCGACAGCAATCAGTTAGGACTTGAAATCGTCTAGTTTAGTAACCACTGCGGCGTGACACACGATGTAACAATGAGCATAGCGAGATTGAACAGTTGACAAGGGTGGCTATACCACATCCATTGGTTCACTGAGTTAAACAGCAGAGCCCCTTGTGAACACATTCATTCACTGAGTGGTAGCATTAGCCCAGGGCGGATCACGGGATTTTGGTGGCGAAGTAGAACCCAGCAGACTGACGCTCATGCATGCCCAGATAATTGGGACAGGATTTTATATAGAAGCACATGCAGCAGATTGAGCAAGCAAACGTGACACTGTGACTAGTAGAACATGGATGACAACGAGGTCAGGTGAAAAGTTAAGAATTTGGCAGAATTACTAATGCAATCAGAAAACTTACCAGGGTATCTTGACTGAATGATTCGCATTGAATTTCGGCTTTAGAACCATGCAATCACAGGATAAATCCAAATCATACGCCGTTCCGCTGTGATCCTGAATTGAATGAACGACACAAATGATTCTGATGTAGTCTATGACTAAGCAAAAACCTCACATGATCCCCAAGAGATAAACCGTATTTTGGCTCAATGCCAAGAGGAATGATTATTTGACGCCCACTTATAAAAAACTGCGATTGCGTGCCAGAAAAAAGGCGGAGGCGAAACCGAAATTAAGGTGATTGACGACCATCGAATATGCGTTGAGCCGAGTACAGGTTTTAAAATGGCGAATCCGCCGTGAACGACGTGAAAAACAAAACTAACCAGGTGATACACTTAGTACACCGGATTGTTAGTGTACTAAGTGACCAGATCACAAACAATGGAATGTTTGGTGCGATGACATGGCGGCAATGCCACGAGTGGATGAGCTGGCATACGGGTCGAAATAAGCGGAGTTGGCTCGTGACTAAGGTAATGTTAATTTCTATGCGATGTACTTAGGACTGACGACCTACAAGCTCACCACTACACCGGTTTAGTCTGGTTAGGCTCCCGTTAGAATAGTTAAGCGAAGTAATCAAGCAAGTCAAGATAAGCTTCATACACCCAAGTGGGAGCATTTTCAGCAATTTAAAAACCATACGAATACAATACAAAATAGAATCAGTGGAAAAAGATAGTGACAACTCAATTATAGAGCCCATTTTCGTTGGACGCGTTCAAATGAAAAGTCCGACTAGAGTCGCTCGCACAGATGATAGTCAATTCGGACCAATCACCACGCGTAATGTCTGTGCGAAACACAGTCACCGATTAGATGATGACGGAACTCTGTCAATTGTGTGACGCAGGCGAACCGGGACGAACGTGATCCCTGCGACCACATTCCGGTTCATTGAGCGCTACTACTGATTCCGCAGTAGGCGATAAAGGTCAACACCCTCTGAGTTATAGCACAAGTTACTACGACGGGCGTAATTTTCTGTGGGCGGAGCGGATCACGAAATCTCGCCGCGTAGTGGTTTGGAAGTCACGCGATCAAACTGTGGGTACCACGCAGTGTCTTCACTGGTATTGTGGACATGCGTAAGCTTAGCTCTGCTGCATGCTATATGCCTTTTGCACTGAGGCCCTTATTCGTTTCGCAGTAACTTTTATGAGGTTGTCACCATCGAAAAGCAAATCAATGAAAATCGGCTTCTTTTCATGGTGTCACTGAAGTGCTTTATGAAATGTTGTGGTACATCAAACAGCAGTTCTTTCTTTGCTTTTAGTGTATCTGCGGTGCAAATGAGATTAACCCGATGGGACGAAATTAGAACTAAGGAGCGCTTGTACTGTATTGCCGAGAAGCTCTTAAAGTCTAAGTATTGGCTCGTCTAGGTTGCTTTCCGATAGAGTGACCTTTAGAATCAACTCCGGTCGCCGTTTGAGCAGTATGTCTAAATAAGACATTTTGGCGCTCAATTTCGCATGTCGTAGTAAGATTCTGATGTACACTATTGAACACTTTGGCTACAAGTGCAGTGTATTGATCTGAATCCATGACTAATAGTATGTTGTTAGCATAGCGTTTGCATAAAGTGGCTGATTTGATGATGCTGTCTACTTTCTCTTCAATCATGCCTGCGAATACGGGAATTTACGGGCACCAGTGCACGTCCCATTGCCCATACAAATACACATGTGGCTGGGAAGACAGCGATGTTTGGCATACTGATCGAAATTTAGGTGTTCGAACCAATGAACACATTCCGTAAACAAACGGAACACGCGACGCTCACAGCAGACGAATCGGGAAGCAAGGTTGCCCTATCAATTACGAGGCATTTGAGGACATTGGTAAATAGGTAAACCCGATTGGGTCATTCACAGGCATCATGCGCAGTCAAACCCATATGCTCAAGCTCCTCGAGCCAATTAATATCGATCGACAGTGCCCACTAGTGTGTTCAAAAACAGCTGAAAGTAACATTGACTATCGTTGTAGCGAGTAACGCACCAATCAGAATAACACCAATCGATTTTATGCCACGTTAATTTGATCCCTTTGTTATATGCATGTACGTGGGCGACGAGAACGCACGAAATGATAGCGTCATCCCACAACCGCCGACTGCTGATATTCTTATTTGGAATTGTAAAGGGAATTTCACGTTACAAATTCCGCAATTACTGGGGTTATACACGCCAGGACGGAGCTTCAACATAGAGGGAAAACAGTAAGGGGATAAAATAGCTCCTTGCGAAACAACTGTTTGGGATCGCGGGAGATCTTTTGCCAAATAAGCAAATTTGTATAACAGTCACGAGTTACATTAGATACATGTGGAGGAACGCGGATTTCGAGAACATTTAGTAGTAAAGAGCTGTCAATGCTTTCAAGGGTCTTGGTGTAATCGAGGGACAGGAACCGTACGGCCTTACATATTTTATCAAACGTAAATACATTGGGGTGGAAAAGATATGAAACGGCATCCAGTGTTGAGCGCCCTTGTTCGCACTGTGTGATGTCATCTGTATGATCGCTTGTGAAAATGCGGAGGATTGGTAGTTGTTCAAGCGTCTTCAACAGCACGGAGGTGTAACGCATTGGGCGATATTTCCGTGATTCCTTCCTAAGCACCGATGTTATTCCGGCCGCTCTCCAGATGTCGGGGACGGTACCCTGTGGCGTCACTGCCGCCAGTCAGATGCTCATACTCACCACTGACTGTTTCTACATGTGGGCGTGTTCGTCTATAGACAACCCATGCACTATCGACAAAAATTCAGCCACTCGATCGATGCGCTGTACGTTATTGCTAGACTACACGTTGAGTGCTATTAGCTCGGTGTGCTCTGTTGTCCTTGCGTCGTTCAGCTACGAGCCATTACTGCGTTCACAGGCTTGCGTTAGTTCCGCATTGGTAGACTTTAAAATATTCGTTGTTAAAAACCCCATTAAAATCTGCATCCGAGATGACTGTAATGCACCCGCACTCTTTAAGAGCGATTGGTGACGGGGCCACTAACCTTCTTTGGCTTCAGTCTTGCGAGTTCCAGGTGAACACCGGTGTGGTTAAATAATTAGTCGACGAAGAATAATGCACCACGGTACGCACAAGCTGCGTGCAAAACTTGCTACTTGTAGTTAAAATGCGCGACCAAGTGGAAGGAGAGAGAATTGTGACAAACGGCAGCAAATCACATGATGAGCAGGTCTCACCTGTAATATCCACTTAAGCGCCATGGTTACCAGTAAAATTTGAGCTAGTGAATTAGTTCACACGAAACAGTTAAAGATGGAATGTGATTTGAAAATCATGCTTCAGTAAAAAACAGCGGTCGATCAGTAGTGGCCTGTGATTATTGGCTACCCGACTGAGTAGTGCAGTTAGGACAGCATGATCTATACAGAGCGTAAATCTCCGACCGAGAAACAATGTGAGCTGTTTTGCACGGGCCCAGACGAAAGTTGTGGCCACTTTTAGCCAGCGATAAGGTTTTTCTTTCGTCCGGCATCTGAGACAGATCTGCTCCAAAATGAATGTTTGACGCATCGACACAAATGTGAGGCAGGCTCTAACAGAAGTGGACGGTAGTGTGGAAGAGATAAGGCATCTCTTAACATTTTCGAAAACAGATGAACGTGCAGCCACCCAAGGAAGGCCTATGATTTCGTTAGTATCCTCAAGAGGCAATGCTAGGGTAGCAAAATCAAGCAGGTACGGTAATTGGTATGAGCACATGCCAAGAAAGTGTCTTAGTTCAGAAGCATCCTTTCGTGTGACGCAACGAGAATGGATTGTAAAGTGGTGCAGCGGTTTGCGTACCTCCTTCAACCATTTAGATATACTGGATGGTGCCTCCAGGCCCCTTGAGAGCTACTCGTACCAGGTTGATAATGGTTAAACGTCCACCAAACTCAGTCTCGTGGTACTCCAGATTGGGGGTTTGAAATGGGATGACAACCATTTCTGCAAAACCAAATCACTTCCAACTCCCCGCTGCCTTGCGTACAGGCTTTTCAGCCAAACGCTTTGAATGAGGACCCTAATCGTCCTCCTGTCTAGGTCTGGGCGCCCTGGCAGTATGTCGGCCCACATACAACTAGGAAATTTCCCCAAACCTCATCCTGCATCGGCCGTCGCGCACATTATTAAGGGTCAACTTATCTGCTGCATACAGTAGGGCGAATAAGCGAAAACATGCTACCGTTGGTGCCTCCCTTCTTTCTTTTACACCACTTCCTCTTATTCCAATCCCGACCCATTACTTATCTTTCTTCCATAATTTCAAGCTTAATCGACAGCAACCGAAGTGCCACTGGAGTAGAAACATCTGCAGCCACCCTCCCGCAACACCCACTGGACGCCTATCGACAACAGTCCCTTATAAGGCCACGCTATCCGGTTCCGCCGGCGTCATTCAACATTCGCACTCTAAGACAACTAGTCAACAGGCTGCTCTCGCACGCAGGTTGGACACAATGGGTATCGATGTGTGTAGTGTGTCCGAAACTAGGATCAATGACCCTAACGGGGTTGTTGAATTAACTGCACCCCGCTTGTCCTCTCGCTATTGGTAGCACGCATCCGGAGACGCTGATACCGTACCCACGAGCCAAGCTGGTGTAGGTATCATCCTAAGCTCCAAGGCTGAGCCATCCTTGGTTGATTGGATGCCGGTGAACAGCCGTTTATGTGCAGCCCGTTTGACGACATCAGCTAAGGTTGATTCACGAAGTAGTACAAAACGCTGTTTGTTTGTGATTTCCGCTTATGCTCCCACCGACTGCAGTTCCAATAGTGTCAAGAACACATTCCATTACGACCTGAACGCAATACTACGTAGTGCTACTAGTTCAGATGTTATGGTACTTGCAGGGGATATGAATCCAAAAGTAGGGCGCCTGAGCTCTTCAGAAGCTCAGCTAGGAAGAAATTATGGGATCAAGTCCGAACGCATTGACAACGGTGAGCGTCTGTTGCAACTGTGTGCGGAGCACCAGTTGTTTCTTAGTAGCACTGCTTTTAGACACAGTGGACGCCGAAGTACCACTTGGCG